GGAACAGAAAAAGGGAAGAAGCAAAGTGCTGATGTACAAATCCGGTCGGCATCGGGAAGACAAGATAACATGGTCATATTAAGGTCCAATCTCATTACTACCAATCCGTGGCATGTCGTCGCACCAGTTTGAAGCGCTCCGCCGTGACCCCCCCGGTGAGCCGCTCCCGAAGAAAGAGGGAAGGGATGGACCACCCACCCAAAACCAAAGGGCAAGAGGGGAGAGTGGGGTTGCACGCTAAAGCTGGCACGGCTGCATGGGATTGGGGAGTTGAATTGATCCCCACCTATTCCAGCCAATGACCGTGTCAGGTCGTGCCTGCTTCACCAACCCCCTTCCAAAAAAGACCCGACACTGGGGCGGGCACTGGCCTGCCAGGGGACCAGGACCAGGTCGTCCACGCCAAATTCCTCCACCACCTGCTGCTACCTGCTGCTGCTGCTCTCTCTCACCACTCGTTGCCCTGCTTGCTGCTGTCTCGTCTCTTCCTCTGCTCAGCGAACGTCGCTGGTCCCTGAAAGACAGACGCAAGCAGACAGACCACCAAACGCCAGCACGAATTGACCCTGTGCATCACCCGGCGTTCCCACGACTCTCGTTTACCAGCTCGACTCTTCTTCTCATGTTATCCATTTACAACTGCCGCCCAGCACCTTTTGGTACGCGCTGATCCCGAACCCAGCCATCAGGGGCACCGTCATCCATCGTCTCCGTCTCTCCTCGCTTCAGCGACCTCTTCTTCTTTGCCCGTCGGTGAAGGGGCCAAAAACGCTGGCCAGCACGCAGACCCGTTCCACTCCAGCACTAGTCTGCCAGTTAGCCTAGCTTCCACACAAGCCATTGTTCGTTGACGACCCGCGCTGCTGCCCTTGCTTGCTTGCCCCTTCATCATATCCCGCCTGCCAAACTCTCTCCACGACGACCGACGCCGAACATTCCTTCTTACGTTGCGTCTTCGTCGCCTCTCTGCTCAATTTTCCGCCGACCCGCCCCGCCGGATGACCACGACGCGTCTTCTCTCGCTACCGAGACTGAGAACCACGCCTTGCTGGATTATCGCGCTCGTCTGAGCTTGAGCATGACCACCATGGCGGGTGCTCCAGCCTCCACCGCAACCATCACCGCCACGACCAACAATAATGATGTCCAACAATGGGATTTTGCCTCTAACAACCATGTAGAGGTACGTCAACCTTGGCTGCCTTTCTTTCTGCTTTGTGGCCGCATGGTTAAATCTCTCCATGCGTGACGTCCCGTTGTTTGGGTCAGTAGCTGACTGAGAGATTCGCACAGGAATACTCCCAGGACACAGTTTCTCCCATACTCAGCGAATACGGTAGCCGGCCTGCGAATGGAAACGCCTCCGCCGGCTATGAATATGGCTTTGAGCCACTGCCACCCTCCCGAAAGAAACATTCCGTCGAAAATATGTCGTCTCTCAAGAACGCTCGATCTTGGGACAGGAGCAATCGCTCATCAGATGCTTCGACGAAGCCCACGTGGACCGACGACCTGAGTGCACCAAAGCGAGCCGGCACTGGCGACAAGCGAACCACAGCTGACCAGCCCTTGAAGCATTGGGACGACGAAAACTCAAAGTGGATCCATCGCGACAAACTGGCCAAGATCGAAAGCCGAGAGCTCCAAGCGGCTGGCATCTACCTTCCTCGATCCCGGGCAAGCAGCAAGGTGCGCAAGGGCCGAAGCGAAGAGCGTCACCAGGGCACCAAGAGGACGGCTTCAGCAGCGGCTGAGGACCGTGACCATTCTGTCCCAGCCAGCCGACACCGGAAGAACTCATCTGCTGCTGAGAACAGCCTGTCTGACAACCAGGCCCAGACACCCAGCTGGGACTTGCGACTTCCCGAGGAGATAGAGGCCGAAGGAGATCCTTACTGGACAAGTACCTCATCCAGGGCCGGCTCTAAAATTCCTGTGGCCAAAATGAGCCCTTTGCCGATTCCAGAAACCTTCATTGACCGCCACTCGCCTTCTACACGCAGGCAGAGTGATGTCCCACGCGAAACCGAGTCGATTGCGTATCCCAAAACGAGGTCGAGAGCTGGTAGCATCAATGCTCTCGCCGAGCCTGCTGCAGCTGGGACGCTGCAGCCAGCCAAGCGATCCGCTACCGATGTCTCGCCCAGGAAGACGACTCCGACTGCTAGGAAGACATCTGCCCCTATCAAGTCGAACGGCTCCGTGAGCGGGCGGCCACGAACGCGTGGCGGTCCTAACAAAGACTCCACAAGCAGCACCGGCACGACTCGCCCTTCGACAAGGTCGGGCGAACTATCACCGGGCAACAGGGCGCCAGAGGGAGAACCGCCCTGGATGATTGGAAGCTACAAGCCTGACCCTCGCTTGCCACCCGATCAACAATTGCTGCCCACAGTCGCGCGACGGCTTCAGCAAGAGAAATGGGAGAAGGAGGGCAAGTTCGGCAGTGTCTACGACAAGGAGTTTCGACCGATGACAGATGACGCTCTTCTGAGCCCCCCTGTGCCAGGCCCCAGCGGCGCGCAAGAAGAGGAGAAGCAGCCGCAGGAACAGTCCGACGAGTGGCCGCTCAAACCAATAGAGAGCAAAAGCCCGACTTTGAAGCAAGGCACTTCATACTCGACGATACCCAAAATCTCTGACAAGCCTCAGGTCAGCCCGCTGCCGAGCCCGCGGACGCCCGGACCCGTACCACAGTCGCCCCCTACAGCACAGCTACAACCTGCGAGGGTGCCGGACGCCTCAGCGGAGAACGACGACGTGGGGCAGAAGAAGGGGGGCTGCGGGTGCTGCATCATCATGTGATCCATCCGTTGCGGCTGTGGATGGGGTGGATGATGGGCACAACCCTTTTACGACGTTATGACTTTCCTTTTCTTTCCTTTGATTCAAGCCTTGTATGTTACCTCAACAACACTTCATCAAGCCGGCCGCCGAGCCGAGACAACAAGCCTAGCGAGGACTTGGTTTCCTTTACGGTTCCTGGGGGGTTTAGCCGACCATCGTCATTCCCTGAGCAAGTACAGGACAATGGCCGTGTGCCTGAGCAAGTACGGGACAACGGCACGGCCAGTCCATCGGTTTCCCAATCCGAAATTCGACACTCCCCAGCCCACAAGACAGAATCTGTACAAGTATAGAATTACTCCTAGTCTCTCCTTTTCTGCTTCACGGCGTCACGCATCAGCGTCTGCTACTCGTTTTCCTTGCTGTTTTTGGGGCAAGCCTTCATTGTCTTTGCATTATCCCCGACGACTCAGTTTGGGACCCTCTTTACAAATAAACCCCTTTAGTCGATGAGCTTGTTCGTTTTTTTTTTCTTCTTCAAAAGGGGAGGATTGGTTGGATGGTTAGAAGAATCTGGAAGAAGGGGAGGAAGAAGGGACGAGACGGTGCGACACGGGGAGGCTATCCATCCATCTAGGCGATTTGACTTCCTGATACCCCCTTGATTCTTGCGCGCTGGTCCTCGATGCCTGGCTGCGCCTGTTTTGCCAATTGGAGAGCGGGGACAGTCAGATAGAAATACAAGAGTTCTACAATCTGAGCATGCCGCTTGTGCCTTGGCCGAGACTCGACAACGATGGCTGCTCACAACTAAGAGAGCTGCAAAACTGCAATCTATGTCCCTAAGAAGACGCCAAGTCAGTCTGTCATCTCACAGCCAATCCCACCTCCCAAAGCAGGAAAAAAAAGTGTGATCGAACACCGAAGTGAACGATCTGGATGAGTTGACCACAGCAGGGCTCGAACCTGCAATCTCCTGATGCACTACAGCTACCGTCATTTCTGAACAGTGATGCTGATCGTAGTCAGACGCCTTGCCATTGGGCCATGCGGCCGACTTGATGAAAACCCCTCGCCGGCGGGGACGCTCATAATCGTTCATCGTGGGAGGCCGACAAGGTGTGGACTCGCAGTGTGGATGCTGTGGAGGCGAAGAGGTTGACTAGCCCTAGTCTTCTGGGGGGTCTTTGGAACTTCAACATGCTGAGGCGGGACGGGAGGGGCAGTATGCGTTGTAGTTTGTATAGGGGCAAGCAGACGGCAGTCCATTTTTTGTGCTTCGAGTTCTTTTCTCTCCTTTGTGACGAGCTGTATGACATCCCGTGGACCATGCCGGGCGAGCGAGGACCTCACATGTGGCAAAACACCACGCACGTATGAATGCACACACACGTGAAAGCAGTGATATTCAACCCTAGATAGCTACAAGAAGCCGCGCCTGTCTGCAATGTCCATCTGCTCATGCCTGGTTTTTGCATTTTGCCGTCCCAAAACACCTGGCTTGTCTAGTTGTTTTTTGGTATCTGTTTCGATATACACCTACACGCACAATATCGTCCCCCAGCTAGAAAAGAGAAAAGAAAAGGAGACCACGGGAAGGGCGGACAAAGACCATCCTAATCCCCCGACTCTCGGTCCTCGCAAGGACGTGAACTGTTTGTGGACAGGGACCCTGTCCTACGTCGAAAATACTCATCGCCTAGTCCACTGCCCGTGTTGGATCGGAGCCCCGTGATCCGTCATGGATAGACCTGCCCCAAACCATCCAACCCATCCCACCCCTTTCCCGACCTGCCAATATCCTTTGGGGCAGCATATTCAACCGTAACCGCTTGCCCGACAGACGAGCCTTCTCATTGCGTGTTGTACAGCACGCTTGCCTTTTCTGCAGCTGCATCAGTAACACCGCGCGCACCTGTTGTTCTGTACCATAACCAGCCAGATCAGCGCACTTCCTCCGGTTCAACTTCTTCCCGGAATCGAATGCCGCCGTCGACCTGCACCGCCTGGTTAACCCACTCGTTCGCTAGCACTTTGTCAAGCGTCCAGCGAGTTCTGGCCCTCATGAGTAGGCCTTCGGTAATTTCCATTGCGCCCACAAGGCCTTTCTCGCGGAACTTTGCAATACTGGCATCATGGTCACCATCGTCACCGGCATACTCAATCCAGCGCCACTCGGCGCGGGCTATCCTATGGCTCGTCCTGCTACGCATGCGATGGGCATCGGCTCCGGAGCCGGGCAAAGGATCGAACGGCAGACGCGACTCGAGGAGTGCATACAGGAGTACGCCCAGCGACCAGGCATCCGTAGCACGACCATCGTAAGGCAGACCCATGATCACCTCGGGCGCGGCGTAGTCTTCTGAGCCGCAGCGCGTCTCGAGCTTTTCGTCATCGGCGATGCGGCGGGACAGTCCGAGATCACCTAATGTGATGACCGAGTAAGGATACGTGACCCAGTCTATCGAATCATCCGCAAGCTCGGCGGGAGATGGGTTCACGAGAACATCTATGAATCATGTTAGCAAGCCATTTTATGTAGACTGTATGTGACACGCACTCTCGAGCTTGATGTCTCGGTGACATATCCGTCGCTCATGCAGATATTTGACCGCACCCACCAACTCGGCAAACATCCTTCGAAGCAACGACGGCTTGAGCACCTCTCGGTGGCCTGTGGCTACATCGAACAGATCACCGCCAGGGCAGTGACTGAGCACAAGAACGGCTCGCGTGGGCTCGATGGCCCACGCCTTCAGGCGAACCAGTGAAGGATGGTCAATGCTTTGCATGATCTCCAACTCGCGCTTGAGACTCATCTCGATACGCTCCTCGCTCGCACCACCTCTGGGTCCATGCTCGCACACCTTTACTGCGACCAGGGTTTTTCTGGGAAGCTGGGTGTGTTCAAGCGTTGAAGTCTCAGACTGCGCTGTGTTCGATGCGTCGTCTTCATCGGCACCCATTTGACTCGTTGCCAGCATGACACGGCTGAAAGTGCCCTGACCCAGTAGCTTGACGGCCATCCATCTTCGTTTCTTTCCATCATTTCGACCGTAACCCTCGAAGCACTCAGCTTGGGGTTTGGATTTACTGCCGGCGGACGAATCGCTTTTAGACGACTCACTGGGGGGCGGGGTAGGAGGTTGAGCCACTGTCTGTGCAAGGCCTCGGGACTCGGCCAAGTTTACCTCGCGCTTGATATGCGGCTCAGCAGCCTCCGCAGTCTCTTCCGGCTTAACATGGGAGCCTGAGACTGTGACATGCCGCCTCGGTATTGACGACGGCTCTGGTATGTATTCGCTGACACTTCGGTTACGTCCATGTTGTGGGCCAGTGTGGCTCGACGCGCCGGCCTTGCCTTCAGTACCGTCGGGTCCGAGGCCAGCATACACTTTTCGCTTCGAAGCGTTGGCAAGGGCCGCCGCTATTGACTCGCCTGATGCAGAGACCAGGACGGAGTCGGGCGTAGGGTTAGGCATTAGTTCGCGGGACGGAGGTCGAGCGCTGAGAAGTTTCCAAGGACCGGGGGAGTCTCCGGACAGGAGAGGAGACGGCAAGGGCGTAACGTCTCCAAGGGCGGATATGACAGGGCTCGGAACGCAAGAAACTGGCGTCGAAGGGTTGCCAAACGCGTTTGCGATGGCCCTTTTGGTACTCGGTGTCCTGGAGACTGGCTTCAAGCTTGAGGAAAATGGTTCGTGATACGAGTTGAGGCTTTCGCGGCCAGAGGAGACAGCCTTGCTACCGCGTGACTCGATATTGATAGGGGCAGTCGGTCGAACGTCAGTCGCGATCCGAAGAGAGCTGTGACCAGCAGCAGTACTGAAACCGTTGCCAGAGTCCTGTGTCGAGAATTCGGGAGGAGGCGGCGAGGGACTTATGGTGTGGTCGTCGAACTGAATGCGGGGGTTCGAAGAAAAAGAGGCCGGATTGTCGATACTCGGAGTGGCATTGTGTGATGTGAATTTGGGCACAAAGGGCTGTTTAACGGCAGGGATTGAGGTATTGTCCGATGTGTTTTCTGGTGTTGAACGTGTCGGCAAAGGCTGGCTTGAACCGGTGTACATGGTCGTTTGTTACGAGTCGAGTCGTCGTAGATTTCGAGTCGTCTCGAGGAAGAGCTCAAAGCGATTTGTCGCGAAGGTACAGGTCGGCGACGATGTTGAGCTTGTGGAGCGGAGGGGGAGGGGTGGCAAGGCCAGGTGATCCGCGACGGCGGCGCAGCACGGGCGACGGAAGCTAGCCTCCTGTTTGAGAGCAAGACAGCAGGCCTAGGTCAGTCTCTGAGATGGTCCCAATAATAGAATCTGTAGCAAACAAGGAGATCGCGAGGGACCTTGCTGGACTTACCGACGTCCTTGGGGATGCAGTCAAGTCAATGACAGACCCTTGGCTGAGAAAGGAAAAGCCAGACAACCACCGAAGGGTCAAAAAAAAGGAGGGAAGGAGGGGCGCGTGTTGTTGGCTACTGATGCAACATGAAAGGCGTCGGTTGTAGGGCGGACTGGGCTGTGCTCCTATGCTCTGTGTCGGGGCTGGTGTTGAGACAGCGGGCCGGGCGGGGAGCTGAGGCGCGGCAAAGCGCAAAAGAGATGACCGATGGGGGCGGGTTAGAGGGTCCGAGATGCAGGAAAGATGAATGTGCGTCTTGGGGGGATATCTGACGGAGCCGAGCTAGCTGCGAGTCGGCGGCGAGTGACGTCTTTGTCGTGGGAAGAGCGACAGCGAAAGCGACGGCGGCAGCAACGTGAGAGAGAGGTGAGAGAAAGACTTGTCGATGGCGCCCCCAGACCCTGTGGTTGGCGGCGCTGGGTTGACAGAGGAGTGGTCACGTTCAGACCTGTGTGATTGAATGAGTAATTGAACCAGAAGGGCTAGACTTTGAGTCCAGGCGCAATAGCGCAGGGCCAAAAGGGGACGATTGTAGGGATGTTGCGACGGGAGGATGAAAGGATGGGGCGCCTTTGTTAATGAAGCAAGGTAAGGAGGTACCTGAGATAGGTAGGTAGGTACCTAGGTAGGTAGGCAGGTGCTATTACAGGGAACATGAAAGGGTTTAGGCCCCCCCCTTGCTGATGGGATGACCTGGATGTCAAGCCACGGCAAGTCGAGTACATGTACAGTAAGGTAGAGGAAGTGGGCAAATGAAGGCAAAGAAGAAGGGCAAAGTCGGAAGGAATTGTGGAGGGGGCAGATGAGTCGACAAACAGACAGGCAGACAGACGAGACCGGCGACCCTGTTGGCAAGCAGCAAGATAAGGTACCCTCCTCGTTCTTGAATCTTGCAGCAGTGATGGGGGGCGTCTGAGATGGCCCAAGAGTCTCCCCTCACACAGGTACATGTACCTCACTCACAGACAGCGCAGCAAGGTGCTACGAGATAGGAAGGGGCAAGGGGTGCTGCCCGCCCCACATTTCTTCATCGAAACAATTTGTGCGGGGCGCTCGTTGTGCTTTCCCATTGGCTCTCGTTTTGGTGGTGGTGGTCGATGGCACAACATCTCTACGTCGTAAGGCTGGAATTGCGGTCGCCTTTTCGATTCCCATGTTTGCCGATGCGACTTCATCAAGACGCTCCTCCTTCAAGATCGATTCTGTTGGAATTCGAGCTCCTGCGATCTGTGACGTGTATCGAAGTGGGATCGTTCGCACACTCGAGGCCTATCCACGATGCTAGCGCCAGCTACCCCGCTGCCAAAGAGAAGTGGAAGAGAGGGTCGTGAAAGGGAAGGCACGTTCGCGACTCAGACTAGACCGGAAGCCAAATGGAGAAAGCCGCGCTAGACTAGTACCTGCCTCGAAGCTCATCTCCCGCATACGGCACTGCCCTTGCCGGCATGCCGTCAAGTACCTGTCGACTGGGTCAAGACGCAAGAGACACCACTCGGTTTTAGCGACCCACTGCACCGGCGACGCTCCCAGTGAGCTCGCTGGGGCTCGAATATTACGTTACAGCGCAGCATGCCCAGCCAGTCACCGTCCCCAGACCAGGAACGCCCGATTATCATTGGGCAGGAACTGTCCGTTTTCATGGTTGCTTCCTCACCTGCCACCCTCGCCGCTGCCGTCAGCGAACGCTTGCAGGAAGGACCAAGGACTTGTTCACTCGGTGGAGGTACATGTAGGTGGGTGGGTTGGTGGGTAACCCAAGGCAGCCAGAAGTCCATGACAGTGGTGCAGTGCAGTGCGCTCCCCTCTCTGACCTGTCAATTTCCTCCCGCCCATCGTGAATCACTGGCAGTTCCTTCCCGAGGCGACGGAATGCCAATCCGGGCAAGAGGACCCGTCGCAGTTTTGTTCAATAATGGGGGCCCCTTGCCCATCGCTGCCCCTCTGGCGGCACCACCGAGTTGTGCATGTCCTACGTCATCGAGATACGTTGGGTTACTGTACTGATGGCTATTCCGTCCTGAACGACCACCTTCAAGCGGCTCTGGCTGTCCTTGCAGCACCACCATAAGCATTGCGGACCCGGGACCTTCGAACACGTACATGCCTGGACAGCAGATCACTATCGAGATGCATGACAACCAAGCACAATCAACCTCACAGTGGATTCTTTCGTGGGAGCAAGCGAAAGCTGCTTCAACAATCAACAGCAAGCCAGCGGGAAGCGTCGCAGAATTTGGGCATCAATACTACCCTTGATAGACGCGTATCCTGGGTCTCGATGTTGTCACCAAGGATGTCCTCCTTCCACCGACATTGCTTCGTTGCCCTCTGGTGGTGGGCGCCTGGTCACGAAATGACAGGCACGGCAAACCCATACAGTTGATTCCAGGTACATATCATTGTCGGCCCTCCTAACATGCCGCCTCGATCGCCTTGCACTCATCTTAATGGCATAGCTGTACAGCTATGATTGCCTCCAGCAAGCAATCAATGTCTACGTAAACGATTTACCCCTTTGTCTGCATTCGAGAAAGACAACCGTCCCTTGGCACGCCGTTTTGAAGTGTGTTGATCAACTTTCCATCCCACTTCGCTTCAGGTGAGGTGAGTCTTCTGAACCATACGAAAGCATGCCTTGTGCTGATTGTTCTCTATAGCTTCATGGAATCCCCGGCCGAAAACTGTAGGTTGAGTCTGTACCTATCCCAGCCATGTCGACTTGAGTTTCTGTCCTGCCGCTGCTGTTTGATACCCCACCTGATGCTTCATGAGCTGCCACATCAACCCACGGTACTGTATTGGGGTAGACGGGGGCAAAGGCTCCCTCGCCTTCATGCATGCAGTTCGCTGAGACTAGCCAGTCCAGCTGCGGCTCTTCGAAGTCTTCGTCCACCCATAGCCACACAGGCAACTCTTCCCTTTCAGTGTCTCCCAAGTCACTTTCGCCATTAGCATCGTCCTCGGTCACGAAGCCCTTGGAAAGAGATGCCGACTTCTCAGCGAAGGCTGCGACTCGGCGCATGCGATATTCATGAATCTTGTTCGCTTTGCTCGACTTCCCTGTCTCCGCCAGCAAGTTTTCCAGGTTCCCTAGCGCTGTCATGGAGAGCCGCTCGTCAGCGTTTGACGTCAATGCCATTTTTACTGCCATTTCAAACGAGGCGATCGCTGCTGCTATGTTGCCAATGTGGTAATACTTTACCCCAAGCTCAAGGTGGATTGCTGCTGTCTGTTCGTCTGTCAAGGCATACGCATTCATGTGGCCGGTCAGGATGGCAACCGCCTCGTCTAGCCTGCCTTGACGCTCCTCACACGCTGCAAGAATGCCAGCATGCGACAGGGCCAACTCACCAATCCACGGGTGCCGCTTCCCCGAGGCAGCAGCCCGGGCGAGATGCGTCGTTATCATTCCCGCACAATCCTCCGGCCCTCGACGAGAGAACACGCAGTCGAGGTAGTCGCTGTATAACAGATGGGTCAGGAAATTGGCAGGTCCTGTTCGTTCCTCAATGTCCGGCAACAGGAAGGCATACAGCCTCATCGACAATTCGTAGTAATCGGAAAGGTTGGTGGCACTCAAGCTCCTCCATATTTGTGCCAAGACGTGATGCTGACCGAGGACGATGGGCATCAAGCCGGCGAGGTAATCAAGCACTAGACGCAACAAATCATGTTTGTGGTGACGGTCGAGATACCATAGTAGGCAGACTGTACGTGCCACGAAGTCAGGGCTCTCAGCTGCCACAATCTCTTTCAGTGACTCAAACGATGGACCAAGGACGCTGTTGATATCGATCTGATCACCTCGCATCATACATCGATTGACGAGGGCGAAACTGGCGATGACCCTTTCAAAAAGCTCGTTGCTGCGGTCTCCATTGCAGAGAAGACTGCTGCCACAGTCGACGTTGTACTCACAGAACCAGGCCCCCGATGAGAATGATCCATCAACATAAACGCGGAAGAGACCCAGAATCTTTTCAACGCCGTACAAATCCGATGAAGAGTTGAGGGCTTGGTTAGGAGCTGGCGACGGGGTTCGACAGGTGACTTCCCGAGCGGTCTGACCGTTGGGCTTGTGTCCGGCGCGAAGTTTCGCGACCAGTGCAGGGTTGCGTTTGACATAGCGTTTGATGTTTTCAAAATCAACAAGTTGGCCGCGGATCCTGAACTCGGTAGGTCTATTCAGCGCATCTCGATCTCTTTTGAGAATGAGGATGGCGAGCACTTCATCTCCCTTCAACTTTTTGTCGAGGCCCCATTTCCATATACGCGACTTGTACATCTTGACCCTAATCGACGCGTATGAGCGAGGGCATACAAGGATCCACGTGGAACATGTACGACTTACGTGGCTACGAAATGGTAGTCCCTTTCCATGATCTCCATGACCTCTCTCAGGGATTTCTTCTCCTCCTGGTACAGTCTTGTGATAAGAGGTCTTTTGGTTTCCCACACTTCCATTGGGACTCGCTTGCGCATTTTCGATTGCAAGGCTTGGTTTTCTGAATTATCGCCATCAGAAACAGAGGAGGGTACCTTTCCTTTGGCGGAGAAATCAGTTGCCTTCATAGCTGTGGTTGAGCGTGGCAGTCAGCTCGCGGTGGGGACGGTCGTCATTCAGCACACTTTGTCGCACTCAATCAAAGTCGGGCTAGATGTTTGAGCCTGTAGGACACAGTCAGGATGGGTGGGCAATGGTCGAAGATATGAGGGACAGGGCGGAGGGATGAGATGAAGTGCACAAACTCACTTGCATCACCTCAGCCCAGTCAATCATCGACCAGGGGCCCAAGTGCGAGCTCACACAGTATGAGGACTCTGTTGAGTATGCTCTTCTGCCTAGTTCTGGCAGCTCACGTTGATACATCCACAACTCTTCTTGATGTGCTGCGGAAGGATGCAACGCGGACATTTCACTCGCAGGACAGCGGCTGCAAACAACGAAACCCAACCTTTCGAAACCAATCAACAGCCACCCGGTGGCATGGGCTCCCAGCGTGCCCCTGCCAGCAAAGGGGCACACCCATCAGGGATGTGTCTTACGGCCGGAATCCTGGCGGCTTGGGTTAGTGGGGTTGTCTATGGGGATCACGACCAGGTTGGAGTGGAGGTAGGCCTGGCTTGAGCCAGTTGTTCGCCCACCCTCCCACGATCGAGCGACGAAACTCTGCACCCACCCATTCACCCCAAGCAACCTCTGCCGTACCAGGACATCACCTCTACCATCTGCATTTCGGTTGAATATCTCCTCGAACTTACAGTTACTGGATACCACACAAAGCTCATATTGTGTGGCACTGGGTCACCGGTCGTCTGTTTAGAACTGGTAGACAATCTGCCCTTTTGTTACTCTATATCTGCCTTTGTCAGCCTTATCATCATGGCCCAGTCAGACACATATGGACACTCAAAACGATTAGTCCACGGGAGCCGGAGTCACGCTCGAGAAACAACGGCCATGCTCCCAAAGCATCTTCGCACGGCCTAGCTAGTTGAAACGGCCCTTTTCACCACCTGTCCCATTAACTGACGAGCTTGGGACCAAACCATCAAATTTGGAGGCCTCAACGGAGGCCGCGTTGCAGCCACCCTCACATATTGCACATACTACGAACACCCACATTGCCGAAGGCGGATACATCGTTGTTTTGCTGTATCTGCACCAGGTCGCAACCGCTAATCTGAAGAAGTAATAATCTTCACTACGACGAAGTCTGGGTCATTACGGCGAGCGGCTGTCCCTTTGTCTTCGCAACACCACCTCAGTGTGTTTTTGTAGCGGCCGGCGTACCCCACGTTTCTTACGGATCGTCCTCATGTGTTTCTACTGACTGACATGCGTCCTGGCACGCTCGCGTGCCGCGGTGTGCCGGAAGTAGGCAGCACGGCCGCATTCCAGGAACAAGTTCTTAATACACAACGGTCGACCTTTGCGCCCACCACGGACTCCTCGTCAGAGCTCCGGGGACGCAGAATTAGATCCACGCTGTGACGGAAACTGCACCCTGTCAGGTGCGTCAGGCATTTCATGGAGGTCAGGGTGTGAGTCAAGCTTGTTAATTAGCCCATTTGCCTACGCCCTGCCAGCTTAACCCCGAGTTAGCAGCGTACGGGCTGCAGAACACATTAGAATTCAACGATATGAAGACACTGACATGGCCCAAGACCAGCTGTCAGCCCTAAGCAAGGCTTGTCAACTTCGACACCCTCCACTACCTTCGGGCAGTCCACCGATGCTTGTTGTCCATGCAGGTTGTGGGGCTTCAGGCGGCTAGCCTGTTGGGTAGGAGGAAGGCCTCGGTGACCAGAACGGGCTCTCTGGTTCACCCACGAACATCATGCTGATTGAAAAGCAGCCGAATCATGATGGACAAAAATAATCGCTTACGCCTGGTGCGTCTTCAGAGTGTTACATGGTGCTCACTGCCATTGTGGATAAGGAACCGCAATCAGGGGGCTCACGAGTCGGGCACATGAGCATTACCACGACAAGACTCACTTCACCTCAGAGGGATCTTATGGACCAGCCGCAGGCGACAGCGACTCGTTGTTCTTGCAACTACTGTCCAATACTGGTTGCTGCCGTTACAGGTGTAAAACTTAACACTAGAGTGAGATTTGGCATGGTCTCTACGGGCCATCTAAGCTACATGGCACAACATGCTAGCCAGCCCGCGAAGACTCGTCGGCAAGATCCGCCGTCCTCTTGACGCTCTTTAGTTGCTAGTGGCGCGTTATGCGTTAGTTTCCGCACATCGGCCTGTCTCATTTTCACCCGACGTAGCCTCCCTTGCTGATCCACGAGCTGCACTTGTTCGGCTGCCAGCTCGGAAGACGGCCAATCGCCATCGCAACTGAATTGATGTCGCCCAGTCTTCATTGGTCTACAGAAACCAATTCCTTGAACAAAGTCACATCCATTGCCCTGGATACACATGACGAAGGCTGATCCATGACCTTTAGAGGTTCGATGCCGTCTTGACATCGACATTCAGAACTTGTTCTGGGGCAAATGGGTCTTCCGTCATTAGCTGTCAGACTTCTCAAGATTCGTCTGTATATCAGGAGCTTTATTCTCTTGTGGTGCATGCCGTCAAGATGCCGCATCAGTTGCAAACCCCGATCGCTCTGACTCCTGGCGGAAGCAACTTCTTGTACGTACAGACTGACACGCTTACTGCGGAAGAGAGGCGCTACCATTTACTCTTACGAAAACTTAACCTTAACACCGTGAGTATAGTTCTGCACGTTATTCGGAGCTTACTGATACAGATAACTGTCAGGCAGCTGCTCTTGATATACCACAAATATCCATGGATCCCAATGACCCCCGTGCGGGCAACTCAACGGTTGACTTAAACTCTGAACAGAAAGGGAAGGGTCAGGAACGCCCACCCATAATATTCGACGGCCTTCTTCCCCGGATCGAGACTCGTGGGCAGAGCAGAATTTCCTCCACCAAGAGCGGCAAGAAGGAGGACGACATCAGCAGACCACATGATCGCGTCCATCATGATGAGATCGTCAGTTTGAGCGATGCAGCAAAGCGTTCTGAACCAACAGCAGTTGACGACACTGTAGCCTTCCCAACTTCACACCCGGAGAACCAATATTAGAGGAAGCGGAACAAGTTGGCGACTAAGAAGCTTGTTCAAGGCCGCCGCAAACAGTGCCATCATACCATCTCTCGGCTATCTCACCAGATTATCAACATGGCTTGTTCTCGAACTTGGAATTACTCCATATGTATGTGTTGACTGCAAATGGCAGTGATGGATGGACCTGGCCATGAAATAGCAAAGCACAAAATCTCATCAAGGTGGGACACGAGAAAACTGCTCGCCTCAACTTCAATTGCAGCTTTTCTATTACAGCCCGCATCAATCGACGAAAACTCCAGCAGTCTGGTTTCGCAATTGCGTCGCAAAGCGACGGGTCAAAAGCATGAGAGGTCCGGGCCAGACTGGAAGAGTCCAAGCAGGGCAGCAGAACATGGCCGCCGGTCGAAACGGGGCAGCCGGCGATGACTCGGCGATGCAACATGGCACCCTGGCTCTCCCCTCCGATGTTTCTGGGTCTGCCCCCGTCGTCTCAGTGGGCTGTCGCACGAACAAATCCTGATGCAATGGAACCGGCCCCCACAACCCGGGTTGTAAAGTCACCCAAAACAGCAGTGTTTCTGGAATGGCCACATGTACACACTTGCTCCCAGTGAGCGAGGGTCAGGCGGTGACGATTAACAGCGAGCGACATCAACTCACGACGAGGGACCCTTGCACAAAGCCAGCAGCAACTGGCTGTCCATTTCCAAGCTGTCATTGATGCTGCCTACCAGAATGATTGTGACAATCGTGCAGCCCACGGCGCACCGCTAAGCAAACAGCCAAGTGATGCGCAACCCAAAGATGGCCGCACAGTAATACGAGTCAACCGGGCTGACTGTGCGGGCGAGCGTTCAAAGCTCTGAGCATGTCTTCCTAAGGACTGGATCCTTGCAAATCGACTCACACTGACCATGCGCCCCCCTCGACAACTCGTTTGACAGAGCTTCCACGTAGCCGTTAATTCATCGTCATTGTGCAAGGTGGGAGGTTCTATTTCTCTACGACATGCCCAGGCCTGGACCGTATGACAACCAGAGACGCGGCTTGGTGTCTTTGGCCTTCGACTACACGCCATCCATAGAAAAGGGCGTACCGACAACTTAGCTACATCTTTCGAGGCGAACGTTTGCATCTCGAACGGAGACCCTTTCGGCGCGTCTCCCGAGCCCGCCCTCTCTTTTCTCTTGTCGAGCAAGTCGCTCGCCGGAGCCCCAAGGGCCAGTACCATGTAGACCCAGAATACCAACTGTTCAGCGTTCGAGGCAGGGGCAAGACGGAAATGATCCCCACATGTTGAATTGAGCAAGGGTTCCTAATTATCCCTAAAGAGTACATGTTGAGTTCCTCACGTCTTCTTTTCCTTCTGCGCCGGCAGTACAGCACAGCAAACATGGATCTCAACGGGGCTCACTGGAGGATCGGACTTGCCGGACCATCAGGTTACCCTATTCATCCTTCACAGCAGCGAACGCGCGGCACTCGGAGCCGGTCTATCGTGGCTGTCTGCATGGGCCCTTGAGACGTGTGTGTTGAACAAACATACCTGATTTTTGCCGCATCTCTCAGCTGAGGAGCCTAGATTGTTACCCATGGGCAGTGTATATGCCATAGTATATCACTTGTCACACAGGGGAAGTGGTCTGAACATGTCGACGTCTGATCTGATTTGGTGGTAGAACTGAGCATTTGGCCGATGTGCATTCGCATACAAATGCACCTCGCGAAACAAAAGCAACAACGATTGTGCCTCATTCCCGGTAGCCGAGTCGAAGCGCCAGCGCAATGTCACATCTGCTACAGGAGGCGATGGCGGTCCAGAAGCCGAGTGGCCGGGTCTTGTGGTCCATTCTTCCCTGAACCCTGTAATATTGCTGTCGACTATTGCTTTGGGTGTTGATATCAAGCGTCCCACAGGGTGTCCAGGCGCTGCTGGGACTCTCGATGGAGATGGGTTAAACGTACGCAGATCGAGTCACTGTTGTTACTTTGGTGGGTGATCTTGATTAGATGGCACGAAAAAGCAGCACATGGTTTGCCATCATTTGGTCTCTCACTGACAACACGCCAAGCCCAAAGGCCCGAATCTGTGTGAACTCTGCAGAGATATACGCCATCTTGAGTCACATTCGGCAGCGGGGGCTTGCGGTGTCTCCCTCCGCCTCTCCGTCCTTGTGCAGAACAGCGATTCTGTACAATTATCCCTTCCTCGTTGGGTGGGGGCTAAATGAAGATTTCCCACGCATGTAGCTTGGGAAAGCTGCAACCATAATTATGTTTTGCTGCTCCCCTCGTCGGTCAACACCGAAAATCGAGGGGAAGCTGAAGATCCACGACGGAACGGGCGCTGCTGTTTCGCCGGCTTTACGACCAGCGCAGGAAAGGCCTCTGGAAGATGCTAAGGAGTCTTCATGAGATTGGTATCGCCCGGGACCACACCGTCTGCCCCCGTGGGTATACCTATTGACTCATCACGAGGATTCTTTGCGTCAAGGCCAATCCAAGGAAAATGTCACTGGGCTGCCCGCATTGCGCTGGACACGGGTCATCCACGGAGTCAGATATGATTTCTAGTGGATGAGGTTCTTTCGCCTGTCAAAATCAGGCCCTCCCCTTTCGCCCGGCCCCCTACTTGCTACACAAGACCAGGTGCGATAGGCCAAAACTGACAGGATTCAGATGCTGGTCGGTAGGTGCGCGTAACTCTGTACCACAGCTTGCCATGGCGATGAGACAAGCCACCATTGCCTCGCTGCTCGTGTCTCGACATTCTCGATTGGTGACAGCAGCACAGTGCAGTTGTCCAGCGGGTAGCGATGAGGGTCATGTTTGGGCCAGGACCCAAGAAAAGTGACAGGTATGTCAACTGGGTTCATGAGCCCAGACCCACCGCAACAAGCCCTTACATGTAGGTCGCCGTGGTCATGGTAGCGGCCGATGACGGGCGTCCGGGGAGGATGGAGCAGCGACGAGGAAGAGAAAGAGGAAAGATGCAAGTGAGGCCGTCCGAGTGACTTCAGACACGTAGGTCCCTGCTGGGACTTGTTGATGAAGTCTGTTGGTGAGTCTGGCGATTGTCTGGTTTGTCGAAGCTGAGCTTTTGCTCGCTTCAGCCTGCTGACGCTCGACTGGGGTGGTGACGCGGCGGATGTCTGTCTGTTGCAATCGTTTGTCGGGCATGGCCTGATGCCCAGCCGCGTTGTATCGTCTGGACAGCGTTAGGAGTGCAACTCTCATCTTGTTGCCTTGTTCCCTCACACCATGATTGACCGAACGGCAACGCGGCTGCGCGGTGTCTATCGCTTCCAATACCAGCCAGCGCCCAGCCCTGTCGGCCTCCACCCCACCACTCGTCTATTCACACCTAATCGAGGTCTGCAGCGCACTCCAGGGTCAGGGCGACTGGGCCATGTCATCGGGAAAAAGGCAGCCTGGGAAGTCAATTCGGTGCCCAATACCCCGGGGACCCCAGGGACGCCGCCCAAAGCACGGTCGGTGGCCGGCCGGTGAATCTTGACGGAAGGAGTCCTTGTCCACCCACGGAAAGCCGGTCCATCGCCCCTTTGCATAAAGTGACAACTCCCAGTTCAGCAGTAGCGAATGGGTTTCCGTGGCCCTCGCCCAACTATTGTTACGCTGTTTCGTGTCGAGGACGTTGTCGAGGAGAAGCAGGGGCTGTGCCATCACTCTACATTTCTCTGATTATGGTTGGGAAAGCAGGGAAACGTTACCTCAGGAAGGACCCGAGAGTGGCAGCCTGCGGAGGTTCAGGACCGGCACGCATGTAGGCATCGAGGTGGCGTCGGTAGGCGATCCCGAGGCGAGGCTGCGAGGATCATTGCCTCTGGGGATAAGTGCGCATGCAGTAGAGGACACCGGCGGTCGAAGAGAACTCTCCCTACCTGCCTACGATGCCATGGCAGATGTGTCGTCGGCGTGCTCGCAGAGGCACCAAGCACGGCATGACACGCATCTGCTGAATGCAACCGGCATGAAGCAAGACAAGGGGCTGCATGGCATATTTGAAGCCTTCACTCGCAGCTGTCACGCCATGCCTAGGTCTATGATCATGTATGATGTCAAAGGAGAGCCTTCTGTGTGCTGCCTGGAGTGCCGGGATGTTGGGTGCTGGGGGGTGGTGTTGGGGGTTGATCGAGGAAGACATGGGACGTTGCCCGAGTCATGGAATATGATGTTGGTGACATGGCATGACCCCAGTCTGCTTATGTCAGACCGAGAGGTGACGGAGTCGGAAAAGGGACGTCTCCGATTTGTTGGAGGGCCCGAGAGTGTGACGCGCTGATTGGCTCAAGTTTTGCCTGGTCCTTAATTGATTCTCCCCTCCGACGCGTCTCACCACGCTCGAAGCGCGTCTCTCTCTGTCTCTGTGACGACCTTGGCTCTTCACGGTCACGACTCGACCACGACCGCGACCTTTGCCATCACGTTGCTTCGCCTTTTCGAAAAAGCCTTGTAGCGCCCACGAAGCCTTGTAGCGCCCACGAAGCCTGTAGCGCCCACGAAGCCTGTAGCGCCCACGAAGCCTGTAGCGCCCACGAAGCCTGTCGCAGCCAGCAGTCATGTTCCGACCAGATCACCACCGCATTGATGCCAAAAGGCGAAACATTGGCGATCATCGCAAGAAGCAGTTCGCCGAGGCTTCCTACAAGGAGCAGAAATACCCCCATCGCCTCAACTTCTACGCCGATGCACCCACGGCCGACATTACTCTGGAGCAGTTTGAACAATGGGCCATTGACCGACTACGAAGTGTGTCCCTCTCGGCCCGTTATTGGCATTCTCTCTTTGGGGGGTTTTCTTTTTTGCTGACCACAAGCAGTCCTGGCCGAACTTGAGGCATGCTCCTTTCGCAACAAGCCCCCCGCCGAGGTTGCCTCCCACATGAAGCCCCTCCTCGAAAAGCTCCTCCCCCTCGAGTTGTCCTCCTCGCAGTCGAGTCAGCTGTTCGCCCAGCGACAAAAGGACCACTACAGCCACTTTATCCTGCGTCTGGCCTTTGCCTCGACCGAAGACCTGCGCCGCCGCTTCTCCCGAGTCGAGACGATGCTGTTTCGCCTGCGCTTCAACTCGGACGACCTCGCCGACCGGAATGCCTTTGTGGCCGGCCTCGAGCTCGACTGGTGGGAGACGGTCACCGAAGACGAGCGTGCCGCGCTCTCGTCCGAGCTCGCCGCCATGATGCCCGCACGCGCCAAGGCGAGCGGCAGCCACAACCCCGAGGACGAGACGTGGTTCAAGGTCGACTGGGCCCGCGTGCCCGAGCTCGTCGAGCAGAGGCGTGTGCTCCTGCGCGCCGGCAAGGCCTACGTGCCGGCGCGCGAGCAGGCGAGCATGGTGCTCGGCGAGTTCACCCAGCGCCTCGAGAAGCAGCTCGAGCTCACGGCGCGCGCCCTGCCGCGCCTCGACGAGGACGACCGCCTGACGCCCATCCTCGACCACCTCTCGAAGAACTTCATCACCCCCGACTCGGCCTACCTCTCGGGCACGACGTCGGCGGCCGGCCTCGGCGCCGACATGTCGGCCCGCAACGTCGACACCCTCGCGGCGGCGCACTTCCCGGCCTGCATGGCCCACCTGCACCGCTCGCTGCGCCGCGACGCCCACCTCAAGCACTACGGCCGCCTGCAGTACACGCTCTTCCTCAAGGGCATCGGCCTCTCGCTCGAGGAGTGCCTGCTCTTCTGGCGCCAGGGGTTCCGCAACGTCACCGACGACGTCTTCAACAAGGAGTACCGCTACAACGTGCGCCACGTCTACGGCGACGTCGGCGGCGACGCCATCCGCCGCGGCGGCGGCTACAGCCCCTTCAGCTGCCAGAAGATCCTGACCGAGCACCCGCCCGGCCCCGGCGAGGCCCACGGCTGCCCCTACCGCCACTTTGACCTCGAGAACCTTAACGCCCTCATGGGCGGCATGGGCGTCACCGAGCGCGGTGTCCTGCAGGGTGTCAGGGAGGACAAGGAGGGCCAGAGGTTCCACATGGCGTGTAATCGGTATGTTTTTTTCTCTCTTCTTCTTTGCTCCTGCGTTTCTCCTTTTTTTTCCCCCCCTTTCTTTCCTTTGCTTCTGTCTTTTCTGCCTGGCTCTTCAGGACACCGGGCCAGAAGGTGCCTATCGACCGTTGAACTTTGCTGACTCCCCAGCGTCTTCGAGCACCTCCACAAGCAGGAAATCAAAAAGGCAAAGGACGAAAGCGTCTTCACGTCGGCCCAGCTCGAGACGATCGTGCACCCGAACGAGTACTTCAAGAGGAGCTACCTGCTGAAGAACCTCGACAAGGCGCGTCAGGTGGACGTCAAGATGGAGGGCGCCTAGGCATAGGGCGTGTGAGGGGCGCTCCCGAGGGGGTCGTCGCGGCGCGGGCGGGCGATGTGGCTTGCATGGTCTTTTTGGACGCGGGATACATGGCATGATGACGGGTTTGGCCTTTGGGAAGAGAGAATGTCCACGATTCGGACTGGATGGCGTTTTGGTCTTTTTATTGCGCGGTATGGGATAGCATGTGGATACTGGCTTTTTTTCATATTGCCGATGTTACATTATCTGTCCATTTGTCTTGGACGATTATATTCCATCTGAAGTCCATGCGTACTTCGACCACTCCTCGAGTCCACTTGCATACTTCCCCTTGATGTATCTATATCGCCGCCGGATGTGCCCTTGAGATGCTGTTCGGGCGAGTACCGGCAAGCAATCGAATGTTGCACTTGGTGGGCTCTGGGTCCTGAGGGCCTACGAACAGGCAGACGACAACAGTCCCTCGGACACGCAGGCGTCGCCCACAACATTCGAGCTCAGGGAACGATGGTCCACACTGACGCCTCTTTTTATAGACAAGACATGTGTCCTAGACAGAGCATTCTTCAGTCAATGGTGGCAACGTGACAAGCCCTTCGTAACCAACACACGGCACGCACCTCGTCACGCAAGGCTGCAAAGTGCAGAAGCACATAAGCCTCGTTCCACCCAGGAGTTGTCGTATCATGATGATCCAGACAGCGGCCGTCTGGAGAGACCGATCGCCACGCTGAAAATACACTGGCATGGTGCCCGGCTGGTCGCACACTATATGGTCGTCATGGCCTGCCGGCCGACCCTTGTCAAGAATCAGATGCTCACTGAGACGGATCGAATGGCCCTCCAGGAACCATCTGAACAAGTCATAAGCTACGGCAAGCCTCGATGCACCCCATCATAGGCTGGACATCCAGGGTCCATGGGAGATGGACCCTTTTCGACGCCGAGCACCCAAACGGTATCGCGAATCGTGCGCGACCGCTTCCGTTTC